ACTTATCTAGGAAACAAAATGCACTTATCTAGGAACAGAATTGAAGACTTATCTAATGCACTTATCTAGGAAACAGAATGCACTTATCTAGGAACAGAATTGAAGACTTATCTATTCTAACGGAATTAAAACTGAATGGATAAGGCTTATATCCCAACTAAGAGCTAACATGACCGGGTCTTCTGCTGCTATCCACTTTGACTGGGTCTTCGGCTGCTGCATGCATGCACGTATCAATTGCCTGATACAATAGGAGCCTCGAAGGCTTTACGGCTGTGCAATGCAGAGAAAAGAATAGAAAGACACTTAAAAGTCCAAAGAGACCGTTTGTGTTAGGGGAAACAAACGAGTTTCTGTGAAGCAATCGTTGTGTCAAACCGGCTTGGGCGTTAATGAAAAAGAAGAGAAGAATAAGGAGTTCAAGGGAAACACGTGGCAGAGGAAACACATACCGCCATTAACCAAGGGCTTGAACGGCAACCCAAATTTAAGTATTTGATGGCTGGAAACAAAATTCCTTAGTTTTTATAGTAAAATGAAATGAAAGAAAATAAGAGAGCAATTCAAACCAGCTCGAATATCTGCAAGTGGGCTTTGGAGAATAACGATGTGCAATGACAATAAGAACAAGAAGAAGAGAAATTCAAAATGGGGTTGGTCAGTTCATTTTACTGTCATTAGGATACATTTGTAGAATAGATGTTGGGTTTTGACACGGTGGTGGGTTACCACATCTTCTTGCAATTAAAGGTGAAGAGAAGAACCAAAACTACAATTAAGGGTGAGCAATCAAAGAATACAAGGGCTTTGAACAACTTCAACAACAACATCTCCCCCCTCCAGTCAGAGAGAGCGGCGGTCCAGCGCCGAAGGTTGAAAGCGGCGTTTCCGACTGGGCACCGGAAATAGAATCGCTGCGTTACAATTTAGAGGGTGGTCGACAAGGCTCTCTCATCTTTTAGCTCGACAGCCTCTCTGTTTCAAGCTCGAGCCTCTCGATCTCTTTTATTCTCTCCCTTCTCTTTTCCCTCTTTCTCCCCTTCCTCTTTTCTCTCATGGCCGTCTACATTCTCGGCTCTACCGCAGATTTGAAGCCATTTCCGAAAACAGATCTGAAGCCACCGGCTCTACCATCATCAAAGCTCCCCAGTGAAGAATTAAGAATTGAGGCCGAAGCTGGTGGCGCCTACTCTTGAGGAAGTTTCAATGATGTGCTCTGAGAGCTTCTTCGCTCTTTGATATACACAGAATATCAATGAATTAGATTGGGGGTTTTTGACAGAGGAGAGTAGAGTTTGAAAAAACCTTGGAGATCAGACCCCCAATACACCCATTGTAGGGGCGTATCGGAAGGGTCCCGAAATGATACAATACGGGCCGATACGTAACGATACTTTCAATCTTTATCACAGCGTTTCTGATGCTGCTTGAGTTTCTTTGGGGCATTTTCTGTAGTATCGAATCTAGCGGGGTGTGGCATTTCAGAGCTCCACCCAAAATGACCTCCGATAGATGTTGCTCGAATAGTCACCAAAGAGCTACGTCTACAAGGTGCATGCTTCTCCGCGGTCTCGTGGATGAACGAAACCCTCTGAGCCATCTTGTTACTCGGCCAAATCGGCTCAGAGAAAGAGGAGAACAAAAAGGGGAAGGGGAGGAGAAAGAAGATCATCGCCGCTAACAGAAGTTAAAGCAGCAGCGGTAATTTTGATCGATGAAGACCAGATTGGACACGGGCGGTTAAGACCAGACAAAGGAAGAATGGGGGGAGCTTTTAAGGGTAAAACAGACATTTCATCCCTCCTATTAATATTTTAACGTCAATGGTAACTTCCCAAAACAGTAAGAATAGCATTAGACAATATTTAAACAATAGGGGTATACTTAATCAATTAACTAAACTATAAAGGTAATTTAAGAAATTTACCCAATAAACTACGAAAACGACTTATCACCAATCGACCGGTATTCTAAATGTGTTAATCAATCAAATGGTACTTGTCAAAATTCACAGGTGGGCTCTTCTACAATACCTTTCCCGCATCATAGATGCTCCCTACAAAAATACATTATCTTCCTTCACTCGTTTTTTCTAATAAATTTAAGTGCACCGCAATTTTTGTTTGTTACTGTATGCCTAGAGGCTTAGCCCTCACCCCTAGGTAGCCTCTACTTTTAGCACTTTCAAAAGCTAGGGGTAAAATCCATATTTAATAGTATCTTTTCACCCTGCTAGCAATGAAAAAAAAGGGGTTTTTACCGTTCAATCCACCTCTAAAATTCTAGTTCAATAGTACAATTGAGGGTAGGTGCCAACTCAGAATTGATGCCAATTCAGGGGAGGTATGGGACTTTGGGTGTAAAGTGTTATAGGTTGAAGTGTTCATAAATTTGAATTGTTGTAGGTCTGCATTTCAAATCTGAATTCTGAGGTAAAGTGCAGTCTAAATATCCTCCAAAAAAAAAATCATTCTACCGCCAAATATCATTAAAACTAAAATTAAGGTTGTGACAAAAAGAAAGGGATAGACTTAAAACATGATGAAGACTCCCCTCTGGTTTCCGAAAAGGTTCAAAATATCAATATATATCAAGCTGTATTGGCTGATACGTATCATATCGGGGGATTCCCGATATGCCCCTACAGGGTTGTTTCGGGTCATACAATAGTTCAAGGGTCGATCGGCCTTAAACCGGCCACTCTGAACCTGAAAAAAAATTAATAAAATAGAGAAAAAAGCACCGATACAGGCCGATATGCCCTGTATTGATATTTTGAACCTTGTTTCTGACAGGACTTCAACATTCCTTGTTAGAAATGAAATTATGTTATATTTATCAGAATCATGGCTTAATTGTAATTCGCTAGTAAATCACAGCCTTGGCACAACCTTTGCTCTCTCTCTCTCTCTCTCTCACCACCACCCATTCTCTTCTCCAACACAGGACGCAGCGGAGCTGACACCATTCCCCACCCCTCTCTAGTGCTTCATTGTTGCACAAAGGAAACCATCTTGGGCATCGGCAGCAGATGCAATGATTTTGGTCCTGTAATCTGAATTTAACCGATTCCTAACGGGTTCAAAAGAGAGGAGAGGTCTTAGTATTTAATTATTTACAATGAACTTCAAAGGAGGTTTTAAGTCTTTTAACCCCCCAAAAATTACTTCATCTTATAGATGCAAAATGGAAAAATGCGTAGTGGCCTAGAACTTCTATATCTAGACCATTCTTGAAACTAATAAAACCTTTTCCCTCAATTGTTTGTCAAATGTACCACTAATACCATATTTTATGATAACCACTACCATTCATTCGTTTCTGAATAAGAATACAACAGAAAACGGCATTTCAAGCGTCTCTCTGCTTATGCCTAGCTATACAACTTCTAAATAATTAAGAAAATTTGATCTGAGCAATATATTCCTAAAAGAGGAGAAAAAAGGCCAAAACGGATGGAAAACCAAAACTTAGATCTCTACCAAGAATAGCTTATTCACATAGACATGCCAAAATTTAGCATTACCTCCAATTCTCCAACTCTCCCCAATTTGAAACACAGCTGTCCAGTGCTTCTTCAGGAATTGTGGGATGGGATCCACCAAATATTGTGGTTGGTAGATATAGTAGTCCCAGTAGCAAATTTACTTTACAGTATTTTAATGTAGGAGACCTCCCAAGGACTTGCTGAATTACCGCCAACCATTCGACTTGATACCTATAGTTGTTTGTCTTGTTCTTTCACCTATGTTCTTCCTGGTGTATCAAACAACGGAAATTGCGAACAACTGTTGTTTCACATATCATGTCTTATTGACTGGTCTAGCCCATCCATAACTTTAGTACTCTATCCCTGCCACCCGAGGCTACCTTCTCACCATCTGGACTCCAATCAACAGCAAAAACCTTCCAAAAATAGAAAAAATGAAAGTTAAAAGTATTAAAAAAGTATGTAAGAACGTGTTAGAAACTATCAAATTTTTGGTAAGTACCTCATCTGCATGACCTGGAAGATCCTGTTTCAATTTGTGTGTACGAATATCCCAAACCTAGGTAAAAAAACTCCAATTAGCAAACGAATAAAAGTATTCCAGGTCATCTGCATGACCTGGAAGATCCTGTTACGACCCATTATATAGTCCACCACTGTAGACAGAACAGTGCTGATGATTATGCATTGAAAGGCATGTTATGACTTAACATAAAGTCCACTTAAATATTTACGGATTTACCATGCATATGTAGGGGAGAGAGGAAAAAAGACCTGTGGAGAGACACTCCAGTTGGGAATAAGAAAGGATGGCATACAAGGTGTAAAGGGCTGGAATGAGAAAGAAAAAGCAAACCCCTCAATTCCTACATCCAATAATAGGCCTATGAACCATAGATGTACTGAACAAGCCCAAAGTAACACTCCCCAAAGCCCAAGAAAACAATAACGCTGAGTAAAAAAAGCTTCAGTCCTGAGGAAACCATCTAACAGAGTATGCCATCTCTTTTGAGGGGACTTTTGCTGATATTTTTGCCCTAGTCTACATAGAGTGGACATACAGAGTAAATCTTGGCAACTGATGGCAAGGAAGGTGCTTACTGCTATAGTAATTGCTTTTTTATAATCGAAGTAATTGGCTAATTGTGTACAAAAACATGGACCATTAGAAGCTAGAGAGTGTCTCATTGTCCAAATCACATATTTCGCCAGGAGTGGAGTAGGAAGAAATGAATTGAATTAGGGTTCAGCATTACCTGGTCAGTGGATACTGACGAGTTCTTAAGGATTATAAGGAGTCTCAGGCAATGACTAGGGGTTTTGTGGCTGTTTTTCACTGTTGCTTTGTAATCTTATTCTCTATTGGGTAATAAATTTCTATGCTCACTAACAATGACAAAAAGAATAGAAGGGAAAGACCTTTTCATCTATAATATAATCTAGGTATTTCCCCAAGTTGGGGTGCCATTTGTCCAGTAACCCCTCTTGTGTTCTATTTTTTTTTCCTTTCATTAATTTCCTTCTCTACTCCCCCCACCTAAACTGGTGAGAGACTCGCCTTCCTGATTGTTAAGATGTAACCATCTTGCAATATTAAATAAACTATACAAGTTAATGAAGAATAAGGCATACCTTCAATGTAGAGTCCTTGCTTCCACTTAAGAGGAGCCTACTGTCAGCAGACCAGCTGTAGAGAAGTAAAGAAGGTGCATCTTAGCCAATGGAACATGGGAAATGAGAATAGAGGTAAGAGGAAGGAGAGCAGAGGGGAGTTATATCTGACCTTATCTGGTAAACTGGTCCCACATGCCCTCGAAAAGCTGCAACAAATTTCCCTGTGGTACCATTCCATAACTTGACAGACTTATCAAAGGAAGCACTTGCCACCCATTGCCCATCAGGAGAAAAGTATACATGGTTCACAAGCTACAAGATACGTGAACTTTCAAGGCTATGTGTTTGAACACATAAAAGAAAGAATTATGGTCCAAAGAGTAAAGATTTTTGCCCAATGCAGAACCAAGAAGCATTCCCACTTCAGATGAAACCATTTATTTTACAAGAAATGGCTTGATAAATAGATAATGACTAACTTTACCTGTTGGTGGCCTGTCAAACGAGCTTTTGGGTGCTTGCTAACAGCTGGCTCCCAAAGGATCATGGTAAAATCATCAGACCCTGAAACTAGTCTTTCAGGGGCATTGCCTCTCATTTTGTTGTACCTTTCTAGAGCTACCTAACATGGCAAACAAAACTACATAGTTAATTAGATGAAAGAGGGAGGGGTAGATCTTTCAGGTACTCTACAGAGAAAAAATCAAATCGTGGAACAAAAAAGTATTGATACGTGATGTGGGATGCACATGAGCTGATATTCATGGTTATTTGTGATTTACTTCAGCCTCAACTTGTAACCAGAGAGAAAACTGTCTCAAGCTCATCATTCAACTTATTCTGGGTAGATAAAAGGAAAAAAATGATCAATATGATAATATTTTATTAGAGGCAAATAAGAAAGTTATAACAGGGTGAGAAAGTTTTCCCCAAAATACAGTTTTACGGTTATGCCCAAAATATTTGATGTCTCATAGCCCCTTCTTTAGCTAGAGTATCCGCCATCCCGTTTACTGTTCTTCTCACCCATTTGAAAGTAACATTCAACTCCCTTACAATGCTCTCCCTAAATGTGTGCCTATAGATCCAAGGGATTTGGGTGCTACATCTTGTCCAGGAGATGACCACCTGTGAGTCCCCTTCCACTTACAAATTAAGGAATCCAAACCGCTTGGCAAACACTTTTTCTGCTGTTCTTCTATCAGTGCATCCTCATTTTCTAGAGACCCTGAATACATAGCTAACACCTTTCCACCTGAGTCTCTGAATACACCTAACCCAGCCACATCTTGGTTACCAAGGAAACTTTCATCAAAATTAAGCTTCACAAAATTTGTTGCCGGTGGTCTCCATTCCATAAAGATTTTTTCCTTTCCTTGTGCTGATATATAGTCACTTCTTTCCAAGTTCTCAGAATGTCATTCAATAAGAACACTTGGAAGTCCTCCAAAGTTTTCACCCAGTGAGCAGCTTTTAACTTTACTATTTCGAAGATTTCCACCACTGATCTACTTTTCTACATTGAAGATTCTTCCATTTCTCTCTTCCCAAATAGTCCATAACAAGGCAGCCCTAACTGTTTTCATAGCAATCTTCCTCTTTGTTTTGGTTGCCTCATGAAGCTAGGGTCAAAGACGCCCACCACCTCCTGTGGAGGATTCCACCTGCAGCCAAAAAGAGAACAAAGATGTTCCCAAA